TATTCAATGTATTCCACAATGATGCCATCCACAGATCCACAGCAGGGTACCGGTTAACGGTAAAAGAAAATACATCGTCCCAGTTTCTACATATAGCAAGATTTCATTAACTAATTTTGAAAATAATAAAAAAAAAAAAGGAACTAAAATCGTACCCTGACGGGTGCTGATCGTCTCCCAAACCTCTTTGGACAATCGGGGTTGCCCCAAGGTCCCAAAGTCTCCTATCAAGCTTCTTTGCCACAAACTGCAAACCACAACTCGAACGTCACAATCATATAAATTCCATATATTACGGGTCAAAAAGCAACACTTTATACTCATCAAGCATACAACAGGCTGCAACAAACAAACAATCGTGCAGAAGATAAAGAAATGGCACAAAACAATATACATTGAATTTCTGATAACCGGAATCACCCAATCCGAAAACAGCGTAACGGAGTCCCTCCAGCCATTGCCTACTCAGATTTTTCTGCAGAAGATCTTTCCAAAACCCCTGCATACACATAAAGATGCAATCTTTTTCACATATTTAACCTTTATCAAATTACCCACAAGGGAGAATTACAATAAATAAACAAGTTAACTGAATTGCTATGAAAAAGCAAAAGCTTTTTACCTTCATGGGATCAGGAGTATCTCCCTGGCCAGTCTCTGCGCTCGGCTTCGGGGCTCACTCGCTCGGCGACGTCTAAAGCGTTTCCGGTTTGGGTGGCGTAGAGTATCAGTAGTTTCTTCCTCACTCTCTCCTCCTCCAACTCTCTCTCTCTCGAAGTCCAAAGCTAACGAAGCTGCTCTGTGTACCGAGTAAGAATGGAACGGTGTCGTATGTGCTTGGGTTAAGTTAGTCTCAATTTTAATGCACTTGCAAAACCACAACAAATCACCTAGTGAAATAATGCAGACAACAGTTTCCTAAAAAAAATAAAAATAGGAGGTTTTGAGTTCGATATGATTGATTGTAGCCATAAATAGAGTGCAACTCTCAACTAACCACATCAAAGCTCGGAAGAGTGGTTCGCCACCAATTGTTCTTTTTTTTTTTTTTTTGTTTAAATTGTACTAGAAAGTTAGGTTTATATATGAATTTGGGTATATAACTCTATAGTTAAATACAATTTGAAGACAAAAGGGAAATTCTACGGCAGATGAATTAAAAGAGAATGGATTATTTATAAAGCTGTTATTAGCAGTCCTGCATTTCTACGTAATGGACAAAAGCAAAATAATTAGAAATACGGGAAGAGAAAAGGATTATGTGATTTATATAAGAGAGATTCTATCATATTAAAATTATTGAGTTATTTTGTGATAAAACTCTACACTTAGTAATATGTGCTTAATAAAGTTAAAGACAGTATCGATGATATTAGTGGTAAGCTATATTGAGCCTAAAATTTATATCATTAAATAGAATTATATACAAGTCTTAATTTGTTAGGATCAAGGCATGTACATATATATATACCTCCAATGCGCCCTTCTTCCATTGCCAACTCTGGCCAAGCATCACGATCAGTCGGAGGAGTCGTATACGCTTCATCAATTGTCCTCGTATCTGAAAGTGAAAATCTTTATGTTTCGATGATAGATGCCATTCCACCTCCTAATTTTCCTTTTCTTCTCCCTTCGTACAAACTTTTATATGTAAATATAGTTATTGTTGTGCGCACACTTTGATACGCCACACTTTCGAGTAGATATTAATTATGTAACACATCAAATTAATTATGAGAATACTTTAATCCAGAAAAATTCATTCTTTTTTATCAGCTTTTTTTTTTAAAAGTGTTATCGGCACTCCAAAAATCATATCCCACTTAAAATCGGTGGTAGATGTCATACATGAATAGTCTTCTTGGATACATTCAATAGTGGAACCTTCTTTGCTTTCCCCATAATGTATATTGTTTGATTTTCTTCTTTTTGTGAGGAAAACACACTTTCATCAACCTTGCTTGATTGATAATTGATGAAAACTTAAAAGAACTACGAAGACAAGTAAGAATCTCATTCTCACAAAAGAAGAAGACCAAAATATAATCTCACATTTGATGCGTTTGTCTTTTTTTTCTTTTTTTTTTTTTTTTTTTGATCTATTTGTAAGACAAGTAATGGACGATGATCGGAGATGTGGATGACTTGACGTATGTACAGCCTTCTTGGATGCATTTAATAGTGGAGCCTTATTTGCATTCCCCATCAGATATAAAGTTTGATTTTTTTTCTTCTGAGAAAAACACACTTTCATCAACCATGCCCGATTGATAACAATCATATGAAAACAGTGCGAGCTGTTCTTTTCCCACAAGGAACGAAAAGGCATTTACACAATGATGGAATTAGTTACAAAACATTAGTGCAAAGATGTTATACATTTTTCAATTAATTAATGGCAACACTATCATGAAAGTTCTTACAGATTTAATTTAGATAAAGATTACCTATGCGTAATCAAATTCAAGCATTTTGGATTCTGGAAAGTTGCTAGAGAAAAGTCATAATATTTAGTGAAGAGAAAACAATGATTTTAATTGAGGATGATCGGAGAAGTGAGATCAACACAAACAAAGAGCAGTAAAAGCAAGATACATGGTAATTAAGTACATGTAGTTAACCAAAGATTCAAGTGAAGTTACTTATCAGTTAACCCTTGTTCTACTTCTCAGTCTGCCAACTGACATGCCTTCTATACCTTTGGGGTCGAAATCCTACTTCAGTGGCCAAATATTTCGTTGCGAAAACTGTTTTTTCTTGCAGTGCTGCTTCTCTTGCTCACCAACTTCCCTGAAATACCGCGGCACACTAGTAGACTTCTGTAACTTTCCCATGTCAAAGAGATTTCTCTGGCCTGCATCTGCTTCAATTAAATTACCATACTTACGAAGAGGATTCAAGCTTACCGTATAACTGAATATGTCGACTGGATAACATTGCAATTCCCGTTCAAAGTTCCAGCTTGTACAATTCTAATGTTACCACGGTTTAGATCGAAAAAGAAGACAATACGTTCAAATTTAGAGTAGTAGTACACTAGTGCTCTTTGAAAAATATGCCATGCTCCCAAACACCTACGACAGATTTACTCAAAGAAGAGTATGATTTTTAGAGTGTGATTTTTAGAGTGTTAACTACATTGAAATATTTGAGAATTGAAGAGAAAATGGAGAAGAAAGAGTAACTGAGAAAGCTGAACTGGAGAGAAATATGAGACTTGTATATTGACTTAAAAGAATTAAGATTACACACTCAATTTTTATACTAGAAAGCCTAATAACTCTAACCAACTACTAACAAACTTGCTAACTGTATTGCTAACTTGTACCCTTAATATAGAGTCTCCTGCGAGTGCTAGTAATGGGTCGAATCCCATACCATACCACTCATACTTAAGCTCTTTATCATATACTTTACACGGCGGCGGAATATTTAGAGTCTCCTGTAAGAGGGTTGAATAAAAGGGTTGAAGGTCCTAATGATCCTCACTTTTAAAAACAAAGCAAACCGCAAGAAGAAGACACTAGGTCATATCCTGCTCGATCGAACACAAGACAAAATTTCGAAGGTGAATTCATTATCATCACTTCGAATTCGATTCTGCTTGCGTTCACGTGTTTATAACATCAAGTACTATAAGAATACATTAAAATACTAGGTCATAAGTGTCACGACACGAGGTTAACGAAAGTCAACATTCTCACCTCTAGAGGCATTTTGGTCATTTTACCTTTTTAGTATTAAAATATCATAAAATCAGAAACGGGTCCTAACACTATTCTTGAACCTTGGTTCCAAAGAAGAAGAGACTTTCTCTCTCCATTTCCCACTTGACCAACTCCCAATTTTTTTTTTTTTTAATTGTTGTCCGATCAAGTTGCGCCACTTAGCATTTTAATTAATAAAGGGATGGTGTATTACTCAACCCATATGTTTAACACAATTATTTAAAAAAAAATCATTATACATATACGACTTTTGAATACTATTTCGTAAAGAACAACGCACTCGTAATCTGAATAATATTTTGTAAAGTACAACGTACTCAGAATCACTTGAACCTTCATCTCATACCATCAAATTCACTAAAATGCTAAAGCAAAAATTCAAATATTTTTGTATGCTATATGTTAAATAATAAAGCTATGCTCAATGCAAGTATAATTTTTTATGTGTAAATAAGCATTTATCATATGATATATAATAAATTTACTTAAATTTCCCTAGTCTACCTAGACCCAGTCTAGGCACATAGGAGCTAGGCCTTAACCCGCCACTCGACTAGCACCTATCGCATCATGATTAGGACCACTTGATGTGAGAATCCACCTACGTAAAACTCTTTTGCCTTCACATCCTCACACGCCTCTCACGTGTGACAAATTTTCAAGCCAAAAACGTGGACAACAGAAAATTGGACAGCGCGGAGCACGTGTGGCCGTTGGGCTTCACACGCGAGCCAAAATGTTATAATATCATGAAGAAAGTTGAGGTTCTATCATAAACATGAGAAGTAGTCTTACTTACTGATAAGCTCATACAATGTCACTCCTTCCATTAATGTGGGATTCATTCTAAAACACTTTCTACTTTTGTCGTCAAGGTAGATATCATGTAGTTTTTTCTCATTCTCACTATACTAAGATTTTGATTGTTATGGTTGTTTTCCTTATATCACGCGATGGATTACCATGTCCTCTCGTATTTTAATTGTTATGGCTCGGCAGTGCCTTTACTGCCCTCCTTTTGTATATGCATATATGGCTTAGTTTTGTTAGCCTCTACTTGCTGGGTTATTTTTTTTTTCCTGCTTGAGAAAACATAGTTGTACTTTCCCCCCATTTGGGGGTGCTTCAATGAATTCATTTTATTGACCAAAAAATAGAGCCTATTGCGAGAGCTTGTTTTAGTAACTAACTCAAAATAGTAATTCACTAAAAAAGAAAACAAAAATAGAAATTGAAGTTGGAATTTCTTTTAAGGTCGAAGAACATACATTATTAACCAAAGAAAAACACATACATAATTGGCCAAATAGAATGCGCATACATCATATTCTCCTTACAAGTTTCTTACAAAGTAGCAAACCCAAACCTAACGAAAGATAACATAGGACTTCAAAACAAATTTTTCTGCTTCCTATCAAATATTCCTTGTCCAAAAGTAGAAATGAATAACTCAACAAACAACGGAAATTGCATCCAGATGAAAGAGGCAACTGGAACACTAGCAAGCAAAATGCTTGGAATAAAAATCGTTGATTTCCTATCAAGCATAATGTAAAGGGTGCAAGAAAAGACGATCATCATGGTAACGATAGACAAAAAGAGAGCAAAAAGGCCTATTATCATTTTTGTGGGCAAGGATTTGAGAAAATCATCTTCAAAATAACGTGACGTGAGAATGCCGAGAAACATGATAACTGAAGTTGTTGAAGAAAAAAGCGAGATTGCATCTGAAACTATAAATATGTTTTTAGTTAAGAATGTAGAAAGACCCTTCTTTTCATCATTTTCACCAGGAACTGTGAATGCTGCAGCAAACATCATGGTGATAATGAGAGAACCCACGACTGTACAAGAAGTTGCTATTTCCTTCATTGACTTTTCTGCCTCTTTCCCCATTGCTTTGTGGCTCTCCGTAAATACTTCTCGCGGTGTCATATAATCATCGTTTATAGATTCACAATCATTGGGATCTGTAACACTCTCCACCTCCTGCATTTTCGGCGACAAAGATTTTTAGGGAAGTGACTAGAATTTTTTTTGTTTTTTTTTTTTTGGGAGTATAAAGAACATTTGGTCTTTGAGACACCACATAACCCCAAATCATTAATTAAGCTACATAAGATGATAGTTTAGTATGCAGTTACATGATTATTTCTAAGCGAAGTAAATTATGCATTCTCTTTCTTTCTTTTATATTTGAATAAATAAAATAACAAAATAAGGAAGGGGAGTGGAAGAAAATGAGAGTAAATATATAGTCACAAAAATATGTATAAACTACATATTTCATAAATATAAGCATAGATAGATACCTTGAACCATTGTAGTTCTCTTTGCATTTGCAAAGCTGCACCTCGAATGTGATCAATTTGTGAGAATGAGGTAATACTTGCTACGGTATGTAGCATATTATTGCGATAGTAATCTGTCCGCCCCATTATGCTCTGTGGTCGATTGGATCGATTTGGGCCATATTGATCTCGAAGCAACTCATAGAAGACATATATAAGATTATAAACTTTGTGGTGACGACATTCAACGGCAATTTGGAACAAGCTCTGATGTTTTTCGTTCTCAATTTGCTCTACATGTATAGGATATGACTCATCGTTTAAATCATTTATGCAGAAATGAGTAATATACTCCACATGCCCTCGTTCTACTGCAATACGCAGTGCTGCTTGTAAGGGTACAATTTCACCTCTAGTTTTTTTGGCTTTACACATGAGAGGTAGAAACTGCTGGACCCGTTCATGCATCAATTTCATCTCATATACACGATTGATTCCTAAGTTCATTCAAGAAAACAAATATAAAATTACAATAATTTTAAAATAATATTGACTGCTAATAAAACAATAAAGGAAAAATCAATTAACCATATGAATGTGTGGCCTACCCAAAAGTTTTTGGAGATTCGTCAGTAGCCCTCGGTATAAACCCATTACTGCATTACAAGTCCAATTTGATGGCCGACAAATATTGGTTATTAGATACATACATATACCTACCAAAAACACACACAAGAGGAAGCCACTTCTCTTTTTAGGGAGGAATCTTCCACAATCATCAAGGGCCAAATCTTTAATTTCAAAACATTTAATTTAACATAAATGGGTCATTCTTCGTACTATGTTGGGTTTTTTTTCGTACTCACCTATGTGTATTACTTTGTTCTCTTTTCTTATAAAAATGTTACACTTATAACATTTTTATTTCACATTTGTACCACCTCTTCAATAAAAACCACTTATATTAGTGGTGCCTACTTCTATTGAAGAAGTGGTACAAGTCTACCACATACGTCAAAAAAGCAAAGGTACTGGGTTGTAAACAATGGAGCACATGTGTGAACGTATAATTCATATAAAAAGTGGAACAAAGATGTGAATATATTGCATCAATAGGAATAGATTGTATAACTGTTCAAACAGTTTGAGACTGTATTGGGCTTGGCTCATGTTCGCTTGTCATAGCTTGGCTCATGAGAAAATTAAGTTATGCTTATATGCGTTCGATTAGAAACAAGTCAAGCTTGAACAATGATATGTTCGACTTATAAGAGCTCATATTTTTTACAAGACAACTTGAATTGGGTTCTATTAAAAAAGTTTGTATATCTCCACCATACATTAATTATGGTCTAGTTCCCCTTCCTATAAACCCCTGATACCATATGAGGCGGCATTGTATTTTTAGCCCTCATGTCAAATGTACGCCAGATCAGAAATGCTGGCCCAAGAAGTGCATTTATGGGAGTTCAAACTTGGGTTAGCCGATTGGACGTTCTAAACCTTTGTTCAGTTTCCACTTGACCAACCCCTGGGGGTTAACATGATCGAGATTTTACTTTTGAAGATTTATGTTTGCTTTTTTCTTTTTCTAAATTAGATTGACTATTTTCAGTTTCACTTCTTTTTAATGCAGAGATCGATATCATGTCCCCTCGTCTTCTTGAGTTTTTAAAGAAACTACAGGCGTGCTGATTTGGCCTCTTACTGGTCTCCAATAATCAAAAGAAAAACACGTTTATATGACTATCTCAAAGTATATGTTTGGAAATCTTGTGTTATTCCCTTTTGTAAGAAACTATTATTGGCATTTTAAAAATCTCATTTGGCACTTCTCACAAGTGTATTTTTCTTTCTAAATATAGAAAGTTTGGAGTGCAAATGAAAATTTTAGAGTGTCAATAACAATTTTCGTTGTGTTTATAGATTATTTTATTAAAATGCATTGTCAAGTTGCGAATTTTTGTTACAAGACTGGGCCAACTTAGAATAGTAAATGTTTCAAACCAGCTTGAACTTGTTATCAAGCTTGAGTTTTTTAAGCGCACTCTAGCTCAGCTCGAACAAGAAGAAAGTCTAACTCTAACTTGAGCTCTAAAAAGTTAAATAAACCAATCTCGAGCAGTTTAATATTTGTTTGGCTCGACTTATTTATAACCCTAAGTAGGAAATATGTAATGAGATGTTCATATATTTTTGTAGTCGCATTATCGAACAATTTACTATGGCATTAACAAAAACCAAATTGCATTGCAGACAAGTAAAATACCTGAGAAAAAGAGATGCCTTCGATTCTCTTTTTGGTTTGAGATAGGCCTTAGCTCACTCTGGTCACTTTCGGATGTGGGAGGAAGAGGTTTTATGCGTATACCTATCAAGGTAAGAACACAAGCTCAATCTGAATTCAAAAAAATATTCTTCTGAAGCAAGATTTGTATGTAATTACGTACTCATGCATTACTTCTAATTGAATACTTAAGTAACATGAGTTGTTAATTGTTATCAAATTGTTAATTCATTTTATATATGTGAATGACTAAACAATTTTTAAATTTGATTGATGCTTTATGGATATGACCCTTCGATAATGACTAAAAACATGAACAAAATATTTCTACTGAAAATTTGATATTACCCCTTGAAACTATATTTTCCTCTACTAAAACCCATCTCCTTTTGTTTTTTTGAATAAAGCCCATTGACTAACCTTCAATCAAACAAATTCTTTAATTAAGTTTGACTTTTCAAATTGTGTATTTTTTGAATGCCTAAACTACCCCTATTAATACTTGGATGGGGTTTTTGGATCAGTTACTTGTTATATCCATTTAATTAATTTTATATATTTTACAAAATAATTCATGCCATTCATTGTATATTCAATGTATTAACTTTCAAATTGTTATAACGTGCTAATTGAAAAATAATAATACTAATTTCATAATTTGGAATAGGTAAATTAATTTCAATGTAGGCAAATTAGTATAATATTAATAAGTAGGTAAATTAGTATAATATTAATAAGTAGGTAAATTAATTTAAATGTAGGTAAATTAGTATAATATTTTATAAGTAGGTAAATTAATTTAAATGTTGGTAAATTAGTATAATATTTATATGTAGGTAATTGCATGATTCAAAATGCAGGTTTATTAGTATAATATTTTATAAGTAGGTAAATTAATTTGTATGTAAGTAATTACATAATTCAAACAATATTATTTTTTCCGTACAAGATTGTCTTTCTCTTTTAAATTTGGTAAATTAATTTATATATGTTGCTAATATTTATGATACAAGAAAGGTAAAATATTCATATGGATTTAATTGCTCATCATAATTAGGATGAGTAATAACATTTATTGACCAAATTAGGATTCTATGGCATAAGTTGTAATTGTATTGTAATAGTTGGTCATATATTTGTCTACATGGTAGGCTATTTGAAATTTGGGTTTTATTTGAATGTTTAAATTTAGATGGGTTTTTATTTGGAAAATAGGAGTTTCAAGGGTCTATATCTAAAGAACCCATATTTCTATGATGAAAATCATCATTTACAATGACAAAAAAAAAAAATATATATATATATATATATATTTACAATTGGGTGAATAAGGAAGTGCATCCATAAATGTACATAAGTACCATTCGCAATAGGTTTATGAAATTGGTGCTCTGTTTGGACCCAGTGTTGCACCATAGTTTTATGAAATTTAAGTCGTTGGATAGCTCCGAGAACAAACTTGGTTTAATAACACTGGTGTCAGTAGAATTAACTTGGTTTAAGAGTCTTGATAGGTTGGTTAACAGCAAGTTCTCCTCTTTCAACGAGTTATCTATCATAAGTCTCGGTTTAGGAGTCTTGACAATTTGGTTAATAGCAAGTTCGCCTCTTTCAACTAGTTATCTATCCTAAGTTTCAGTTGGTAATGAGTCTTTGATTCTTTAGCCGGAAAATGTCACTTCATTGGCTTCCTCGGTGAAGTGGAGTATTTTACATAAGTGGACTATTCCTAATAGTGAATCATAAAATTGAACGTATATCATGTTTTTTCTTTTAGAATATTGCAGTTACGTAAAATATGACGATAAAATAAAGGGCAATATTGTAATTTGGACTAACCGTAATAGATCAATTTTTCCCATAAGTTGAGCCGGCATCCACTTAAGAATGCTAAACGGTTACTGGCCAATGTTGCTAAGGGAAGGTTCCCTATGAAGTCGCTAGTCCCGGCCAATTGTGGATAATATTGAATCAACTCCCACGCAATATCTATATATAATAGAAGTGTGAACAAAAGAATATTGTAAGTCTGCAGAAAAAAATTGTAACAAAAAAAAATCACACGGGAAAAGATTGACATTAATAATCGGTCATGTTTGAAAGTCGACCATTATATATTGCAAGTATGCGGAGAAAAATTGTACCAAATCTCTTGAGACGAAAACCGAGAGAAATAAGGTGAGCGCCATTTGTAACGCTTAGTGTTTCGCGTGGAGTGAGGGAATAGAGATAGCGAGCCATTCTTTCCCCTTCTTCCTGCCTCTCAGCGCGGACAACTAGAGACTGCTGATTTGGTAAAATGGTAAGTAATTTGTCATTCTTTTCAATCATGCGTTTGGCTACTTCAACCCTTTCTGGACGTTCTTCTACTAAATAATAAAGAGCTGTATAACCTTTAGAGTCTTGTATTTCCAAGTCTTCCCTTTTCATTAACTCCACCAACTGTTCTATATTGGGCACGCTGCACTTGTTAAACGGCTGGACTGCCTTGTGAAGAGCTGTGCCGTTAGATGAAGTTCTTGCACTTCCCAGCCCGGGATGTTCGCCAAGAAACTTGATCGCATTATCCCAATCTTTAGACTCCACATATTTGATGAAAGTTTTACAGATATTGTTGGCATTGCTCTCACCATGTCCTGCCATGTTTGTCAATTACTAACTTTCCCATACTTGAATGAAAATAATTAAATATAATTTGAAGACAAATGGGAAATTTTACGGTAGATGAAGTAAAAGAGAATGGATAAATAAGGCTGTTAGTAGCAGTCCTACATTTCCACCTAATGGACAAACCAGAATAATTAAAAATACGGGAACGGAAAAGGTTATATGATCTATATAAGAGAGATTGTACCTCTAATCATCGATAGTGTCTTCAACTTAATTAAGCACCTATTACTAGGTGTGGTGTTGGGCCTAAGTTGATATCATTAAATAAAAATTATATCCAAGTCTCAATTTGTTAGGATCAAGGTATATACACATATACCTCCAGTGCGCCCTTCTTCCATTGCCATCCCTATAGTGCGCTCTTCTTCCATTGCTTGACGAATTGGCCTCGAATCTGATAATGAAAATCTTGATGTTTAGATGATAGATGTCATTCAATTCCTAACAAATTCCTATGCGTAAAAATAGTACAAATTCCTATGCATACAAATCTTCTTCCTACATTCGTGAAATGTGAAATCTTTTAAGGGCTTATAAGAGGTTGAGCTACTCCTTATTTTGCTAACTTGTTTTACTGTAGAACCTTAACTTTATTCAGTGTGCAGATACCTATTGTAACTTGTCGTCGACTATATCGATCATATCCTGGTCTCGAAGGTTTTAACAACTCCCATGCTTTATCGGCCCTGGTTTCGTCCTTTATATATTTAAACATTTCATCCCCGCAAGAAATCTGGATTGCATGTAAGGCACTGTCATTCATCGACCTCCAATCCCCTGACTGGTCATGGGTGCCTTCGACAACTCCCCAAAGACCATTGGCCACCAAGGAGCTTTTAACCCGAGAACTCCAACTGTCATAGTTTCTACGATTAAGAACTGCAGGAACAATTGTAGCTGCCATGCTCAATCTGTACATTTATTCAACGAGATCTTATGTTAATGGAGCATAAGTGGAAAGAAAAAACAATCTTTCAGAACCCAATTTTTTTCTCTATATGCAATGAACCAGTTCAACTAACTACTGTAGACCAAAGATTTTCAGCTTTCTAAAGACAGCGTGCCTGAAGGGGAATAAAATAAATGACCTAACTTAAACGCTTTGCACGAGTCCTAGTTGATAACCATTTTGGTTTTAAAAAAATAAATAAAAACAAAAGCTGAGAACCAAATCGCTTCCTACCAAACAAAACAAGATCCAAGAACGAAAACAAACCAAAGTCCAGATCTGACAAGGAAGAACCTGCAATCCAAAATATCAACGATTTTGAAAATATAAGCCTCCAAAATGATTACAAGATTTGGAAGATGAAAAGAAAATGAAATCAAATGAGAAAATTGGAGAGAAATTTAAAGAGACTAGGAAGAATCTCTTTCTGACGTGAGATGAGATACTTGGACAATTACGAAAACAAGTAAGAATCGCATTTTCACATAAGAAAAGGACCAAAGTATAATCCCACCTTTGATGTGTTGTCTTTCTTCTTTTTTTTTTTTTTTTTCTTTTTTTTGGTCTACTTGTAAGACAAGTAAGACTCTATCTTTTCTTTTTTTACAAAATCTAGAGAAAATTATATTCCACGTGAAATTGGTGGTAGATGTTATATATGTACAACCTTCTTGGATACGTTGATAGTGGTGCCTTCTTTGCTATCCCCATCATGTATATGGTTTAGTTTTCTTCTTTTGAGAAAGACACACTTTCATCAATCGTGCATAATTGATAATCGATGAGAAACTTGAACAACTATGAAGACAAGTAAGAATCTCATTCTTACAAAAGAAAAAAAGAAAAAACAAAGTATAAACTTACCTTTGATGTGTTGTCTATTTTTTCTTTGGTCTACTTGTAATACAAGTGAGACCATATCATATCTCTTTTTACAAATTTTAGAGAAAATTATATTTCACGTGAAATTGGTGGTAAATGTTAGATATATACAACCTTCTTGGATACATTTGATAATGGAGCCTTCTTTGCTTTCCCATCATGTATACGGTTTGATTTTCTTCTTTTGAGGAAGACACACTTTCATCAACTGTGCCTGATTGATAACAAATGAGAAAGTTTAACAACTACGAAGACAAGTAAGAATCGCATTCTCACAAAAGAAAAGATCAAGTATAATCTCACATTTGATGTGTTGTCTTTCTTTTCTTGGTTTACTTATCTTGTAAGACTCCTATCTTTTCTCCTTTTACAAATTTCAGAGAAAATTATATTCCACATGAAATCGGTAGTACATGTGATATATGTACAACCTTCTTAGATACATTTGATAGTGGAGTTATTTGTTATATATTTTCAGGCGTACCACTGTGGGCTCAAACCAACAGAAAGATTGTATGATGTTATTGTTTTTTTTTTTTTTAAACAAACGATATTATTATTTACACTAAGGGGGAGGGGGTGGGCTTAGCCTCATAAGTATGATGTTATTGTTAGATTATAAACTTGCGCCACGAGTGGGATGAGCATCTAATCAAGAGATTGTGCCATAGAGAGGTAAAATCTATGCTAAGTTCTTTTTTGTGCCTTGTTAAGCCAAGGACTTTATATTTTCTTTGGGTATGCGAAGTGATAATCACAAACTGATCGACTTTAGTTCAACTTAGTCTGCAATTCTCATATAGATGTAAGAACTTAATGTGTGACAAGTTATATGAAAAGGAAAGACAGAAAGGAAATAAATTAAATGCTTATCAAATGTTTAATCTCTTTTAAAATATTTCAAAATTCCAAGTGAATACACTCATCCAAACGCACTAATAACCTATCATCATAAGCAAGAGCAGGCCGGGCGAGACGGCTTTCAGAGGCTAAACGGTAATTCACCGAGATGATGATGAACCTCCTAATGACCCTGACTTTAAAAACAAAAGGAAACCGCAAGAAGAACACATTAGATCATATCCTGCTCGAACACAAGGCAAACTTTGGAGGAGAATTCATTATCATCACTTTCGGTTGCTCACGATGAGCCAACGGTTATATCATGTTCAACGTTGGGAAGGTGATTAATCTGAAGGAATCTTTACTGTGGGTCAGAACCACAACTTGAGGATCTCCATCATTGCTAGTAGCAGCATTTTGTACATGCATGGCAGCAAAAGACGGTCACCTGACTAGGGGAGCTCCATCAGCTGTTTTATGCTCTTGCTCGTGCTGCACTCTCTTATTCTCTTGGTCCTCGGCGCCTCCATAGTCCTACGCCAAAACGAAACACAATCAGGAATAAAACTAGACTAGATTCAACAAAACGAGAGAGAGAGAGAGAGAGAGAGAGAGAGATGAAATTTGCAAGAATCGATAAGGCGACGTCTAATAGTAGGATTAGGAGTTGATACAGTATAGCTTTCGTAAACTTTAATTGCTATAGCTACGAACTCATTCGAATGGTTCATGATTCCCAGAAAACCACCAACGTTTGGTTGCTATAGCTAAGAATTTTAGTCTCGGTATTCATGGTTTTCGAAAATGAACAACCCCGAAACTCGTCAAATTACACTTTCGTTGTGACTTGTAGATTTTACAATTAGTCACTTGCTTCTCAATTGTTCTACCATTGTAGCAATTAAGTTCATTCTGGAAGGTATAAAAATGTTACAAGTTCATTTCTTAATGTGAAAGAGCACATACTTGATGATTGTAGATTGCATTAAAAAATGGACAAACAAATTGTGTTTTCTTGCTGTTATTGAATTGGCTGTAGTATATGAGGGCAAAGAAAGTGAACTTCTGCCGAAAACACAAGGAAAATTCGTGTCTAAGATGGATCATTTTGTATCTTTTGCAGCGAGTAGTGACGATTTTCAGCCTTGAGGGGCCGTTTGGTACGCAGATGGGACGGAACGAGACAGGACGGGATGGGATGGGACGGGACAGGATGGGACGGAATAGTGGTTCCATGTGATGTTTGGTATGCGCAGGACAGAACAAGAGATTTGTTCCATTTTACTTTTGGTAAGCGCAGGATGGAACGGAACCAAAACATTAAAATGACTAACTTACCCCCGTTCCGTCTGTTGTTTGGTACAATGTTTGGGACAGGACGGAACATTTTTTTTTTCTTCTTCTTCTTGCTACGGCTTATCTATGATATATTTTGTACACTATACTTGGATGTGTTCATATTTCGTACCGTGCATAACAGAAAACAAGAGCCATGTATTTGTGCTTTGTTGCTCATATAATTAATTTAGTGGGATAATGCGTCAATTAATTTTATGTGATCTAAAAAAATAATAGAATGAGAGCATGCCATTGGCTTGGCACTTGGCACATGGCAATGTAGCCACAATATGTATATGGGATGAATTACATATGAAGAGGTTGGCGTGGTAGAACAACCATTGATGCAATGGCTATGTTGGAATCTTTGACACAATCTGCTTTCATCTCTTCGTTATCATATTGAAATGCAAATTGTGTCAAACAATATGTATATTATAAGCTGAGCTATGAGACAATTGGATGTCTATGGCATTGGTTGTCATTCAAGGATGAAAAATATATAAGTTTAATAATATTATCTTACTAAAGCAATAAACATGAAATATCCAGAACTTAAACATGAAATCCCAAATTAAACATTCATCCTAACTTCAGAAAAAAAAAAAAAGATAATGTCTTACTAAACCCCAGAAGTTGATGTAAATCCCCTAATGCTCATATGCCATCTATATACATTTTAATGAAATCTGCCTTGTGAAAGTCATCCAGGGTACACCAAATGCTCATCATATCAGTATCTTTCACTAATTTCATTGAAATTCTCAGCATCTGATCATATGGGAGACCCATGGCCTGAAGCTGACAAGGTAACCTGGCTTTTGCTTCTCTCAAAGTAAAACTTTCACCTAAATTCTTCATTTCAGTAACTGCTTTATCCCAACCTTCACGGATAGCAGCTACAATATTTACATCAGCATCATTCTTATTTCTCTTCCTCTTCATCTTCCTAATAGGTTGAGATGCACTGGATGTACCAATAGAAATAGATGAGGTAGGTGAAGTCAAAGGCATCTCGAATGTCTCATCGCTATCCTCATTTTCCAATCTCATGTTTTTGATTGCATCTGCTGCTGATTCAGCCATACTACTTATGGCTCGGTCTCTCCCAAACATCATACACAAGCGTGGATACAACGGAAATGGCTTATTTGGTTTGTAAGATGCATTAGGATGTTTCTACAATAAGAACCCAAAGAAATCAAAGTTATAACTTTTAAAGCAACTAATTGAAAAAGAATAAGAAACAAAATGTACCTTCATCCACAGCTGAAGTACATCGTCACTATCCACAACAACACATTTTTTTTGGTCATCCCAACCAAATCCAGAGGTATTCATCATGTCATATGCAGAGGAATACTTTTCTTTTAGACGCTTCAGCTTATTTTGTATATGCTTTGGCTCTATATTAATGCCCGGAATCATCTCCCTCATGTTGGTGGCAACCATTACAAATGTACTAGCCTTAAATCTGCCGGTCTCACACCTAACACCATCAACTACCATCTCCTCGAGGATGGTAACCAGTACATCCTAATTATGTGAGGTGGCCCTATAATCTATCAAAGAAGCCATAATATTACATATGAAAAACAAAGAAACATATTGTTAGTGGAGCAAACATGATGCAATTAAGTTAATATCTGCCTACAACTTTTTATAAAGCTAAATTACTTCCTAATGGAAAAAGTAATCCAGTGAACAATATATATGTTTTTTTTTTCAATGTTGTTTTGGGCAGTATTGCAACTCTTTGGTTTTCATATGTAGCATCAGTAGGTGCATCATCAGTAGGTTGAAAGCATCAGTGATGCGGCATAAATAGGTGCAACATCAGTATTAGCTAGTAAGACAACTTACGGCAAGTAAGAAGGGACTAAAACGAAGAAATGAAAAGGCCATCGTAACCAGCGTTTTTTTTTGTCTTTTATATTCATATGCTTGATTCTACAATATGAAGAAATGAAAAGACCATTGCAAAGTTTGCTGCAAGTTATTTTGCTAAATGTTTATTCTCTGTCTTTTACTTTATTGTTAGTATTTTCTTCTTGCGGATAATTTGAGCAATAAAAAACAAACATCTCAATAGTCTTCAAACAATAAAAAACAATTACAGCAATCATCTCAGTAAAATGTCATCAAACAATAAAAGACAATTACAACAACTACCATGTCAACCAATTTTCAAGCTCTCCTTCCTCTCCACTTATCATATATTTCTCTTGCAAGATCATCCCTCCATTGAGTCCATGTCTGGCTTGACTCAACGGTTTCAATGTAGGCTAATATTTTTGGTAAATCTTCCCCTATAGGCAATTCATCAAATGCAAGTCTTGCATTTTCCTCAGGATCAACCGCCATATACATTCTGATAAAATTATGAAGTAAACTACATGCGGCGATCATTCGTCCTTGAATCTTGATTGGATAGTAGGAAGAACTTCGCAAGATAGCCCAACGTCTTTTGAGGAGGCCAAAACATCTCTCAATGACATTCCTAGCACGTGAGTGTTTCATATTAAAATATTCTTCATGATTCCTAGGTGCACGTGAATTGTCTTCCCACTCTTGCAAATGGTATCTAGTGCCTCTATACGGTGCCAGAAAACCCCCACCATTTGTATATTCGGAATCAACCAAATAGTATATACCTATATTAGTTGATTATAAATTTTAGTTGTTGGCCAACAAAGGTAAGGAAGAATATTAGATACTTGTCTATCTTACCGGTTGGGACCTTGAGGCCATTAGCTTTAGTAACAGCGTCACTAAGAACTCTCGAATCAGTAGCTGATCCCTCCCAACCGGATAACACATATACAAATTTGAGGTCATGTGTGCATACACCTAACACATTAGTTGTTATATGACCCTTCCTTGTTCTATATCTTGGTCTATCGACCTCAGGCACAGTGACCTCTATGTATGTTCCATATAGCACTCCTAAACAACCCTAGACAAAAGAAAAACTTATATTAATTACCAACTACAAATATTTTTGTTATTAATGATTTTACTATGATGCTTACCTTAAAGCATTTCCATCTCGATTCCGTGCAATCCTCTGGGATAGGGGTTGGTTTTGCAAACAACACGTCTTGCAAATTGAGCAACGCACACAATACTCTGCGGATATACCGACTAATAGTTTCACCAGACCTAATGAATCTAACTTGCATTAACCTGTTTTTATTGTGGTGGGCTAATATGTTAACAAAAGTAGCTACTTGCTCCTCTATTGTAACATGACCATCATCTACCAACCCACAACGAATTTGTAGTAAATCACATAAAACTGCAAATGCATTCCTATCCATTCGCAGCTCCCACAAATAGTTAGTATCACTCAATCGCGTGATACGATTTATTTCCTCTCTCCTAACGTGAAGTCTAACAAATGACCTCTGCTCTAAACTAGCTCTTTCCCGTTGTCTCCTTTGTTGTTGTCTATACCTCAACAATTGTGCATTCATAGTAAAGACTTGTGCCATTATAATCCAAACGTTCAAAAGAACAAAGAATTGAGTCTCATATTCATCACACATGAATGAATGAAGCATCAACATTAGCAGGATTCAATTCCAAGTGTATGATTAAATGGTAAAACAAAGTGGAGCTTCATATCCTAATTGCAATTCTTAAAGTGCAACATCAACTTTGTCATACACTGAAAATCTGAGTGCAGCATCAGTATTAGCTTGTAATGTAATTAAAGAAGTTTCTAATTTGTGATTACCTAAAAATTAAGTTAATTGTCAGAACAAGCAAACAAATTAGAAGTCACGAAGATGCTTGGATTTCACATATAGATGGGGTTGCAAATTGTAAAATTTTGCTAAATTATCTTTGAGCGGTTTCTTTGCCATTCAAGATTGTGTTATGTTTGTGTTGGTCTCTCTAAAAATTTTTCATTAAACATATTATAAAGAAAATGGATGAAGATGAAACAAAGTCTCGTCTTTCTTTGCATTCTACAATTGCTCATGATAAATTAAGAATTGGATATATCCATGAAATTTCCAAGTTGGAGCTAACCTTGCCCTTTATTGCTAACAAATAGTACCTGCATTTTTACCCCTTTAATATGTTCATGCATTTATGATGCAGATCGGAGTTCACTATAGTGGAAAGTTTTATGAATTTGTAAGCAATTGTTTGTTTACAAATTCGAAAACGATTTATTCACTTAAGTTCCTAATCAGAATAACATAACACATTCACATTAATAAAGAACTTGGAAAATGGTATGAACCTCCAACTGTTTACATCTTCCCATCTTGTGTAAAAATAAACACCACGTATGGGTTCTTCCACTAGATGATATCCATTTTTAGACTTACCACTTCACCCAACAAATGGGTTCCTCCACTAACAGTATAAAAAAAATTTAAATTACAATTAAACTTACTATTTTGTATCTTCATCTCCCACTTCGTGTTCTCTCTTTCTCATGACAAACCAAAAGCACAAACTTCCTAAAATTGGAGTCATTTCACTCCTCCTTGAAACAATTTTTAATTTTTCTATTGCTGCAGTAGAGCAACCTCCCTTATCACAAAACCTCAAAAAAAAAAAAATAAAAAAAAAAATTAGTATAAAATACCCCAACCATTTTTCTCTTCCACCCCTACTCTCCTGTTTCTCTCTCCCCCCAAGAAACTCTAGCTTTTTCCCCGTCCTAGAAATCAAAAACTTCTAAGCCAAGCAATTATCCTCAACAATCATATACATTGATAAGAGGAATCAAAATCGAGCACTACGATTCTTTGTTCAATTAAAATAGTCACTGTGTTTTTTGTTTAACATTTAGAAGGTCAATGTATAGAAAACTAGATATAAAATGACTATATTTTGAGCAGCAATGAACCAACAATGGAAAATCCAACAGAGAACCCAATCCAACAGAGGAAAATCCAAAACATGTAACCCAATCCAATCCAAAAGAACCTAAAGACATCATCATATTTATAGATTTCAACACATAAAAATCAAAACTTGAACATTGAAAAAACGAATCCAGATAGAGAGATACCTCTGAATGCAGTACTGCTCAATAAGAGGAGCGGAAGCAGATAAACAGTGGCAGATCTTTGGTTGCAGATGCAGTATTAGGAAGATTGAAGCACTACCAAATACAAAGAAATCAAAACAAGCAAATCAGAAAAGAATACAAAGAAATTGAAGCACTACAAAATACAAAGAAAGTCAACAAAATTAGGAACTGGGTGTTAATGAAATCGAAACAAGCAAATCAAAAAAGAATAATAATGCCACTTCAAATTTACATCAAAATTAAATAAAGTTAAGATTGGAGGATTTGTAAGAGTATGGGGTTTGGTTTCGACAGTTGTCACATGGATGGTATGGGGTTTAGTTTCAATCAGTCCAAGTGGGTGGGGTTTCCGACTACGAGCCTCCAAAAAGTGGTACGAGGACTAAAAGCTATGTAGATACTCAAAGCAATAGCAAACACCAAACCAAGAGAGAAACAAAAAATACTACAAAATACAAGGAAAGAGAGAAAGAGAGGCTACACAATCACAATCAGATCAAACCTAGAACGGAGATGCAGAGCTGAAGTTCACGGATAAGAGGATGAGGAGGAAGGTTGCGAATGGGAGATGCAGGGATGAAGAAGTTCACAGCGGCAGAGAAGAGAAGATGATAGTTAGGGTTTGTTGTATGATTTAGATGGTGCAAATATTGAAAAAGCTAGGGGGTATTTTTGTCTTAAAATTTTATGATTTTTGTGTTCCACAGGACAGAACGACGGGGGAGGTGGAACGAAAATTGAACCCATTTTCGTTCCATGAGACAGTGCGTTCCACATAATTTAACGCACCAAATATGGGACGTCCGTCCCACTCTATTCCGTTCCATCCCACATACCAAACGCGCCCTTAGGGACCAAAATATGCCGCTAAGTCAGCAAAAAGGCTTTTAACGACGATAAATTTCGTGGCCGGCCACTACTAAAGTCATCTGTCACAGCGACTAAAAACTCGCCGCTAAAAGTTTTATAGGAGATGCCTGCATCGTATCAAACAAGTTTTTTTTTTTTTTTCTAGTCGGAATTTCAAAATCTCCACCGGTATGAACAAGAACGCTGTTTCTTAAAACATTCATATTTATGAATTTTACATTGAACCTTTCACTTTTGAGTAAATTTCGGGTTTCTGCAAAAAATTGTGTAGATATCTTACATGCCAAATATAGTATAAAAGAACACTCCTCAGAACGCAGGTAAACAGTTTGCTGCCATGGAAATTCAAGTTTCAGTCCCGTGATGTCTTCCGCGGCCACTGCATCAAAAACATTGATGTATAAGATGGAACTCCATGAAAGTAAGGATCAAAATTATAATAAGAGAATCCACTACAATATATATTTGACCTTTCCTTTCCAATTATATTATAATTTAATTTTACTCTCAATTGTTTTTTTCTTATAACAATCTAATGATAGCATACTTAACGAGGGGGTTTTCTGACCTTTGGCATGACATTTCCACTGGCTTATGATCCATTGCTAGTTCCAGCTGAAAAGAACAAAAAGGACATCAGTATATCATCAATGTGTTGGTCAACTACCGTGTTCCTTATAAGATCGCCTCCACGAGAAAGACGACAAATTAAACCTGCTAATGAAAATCATGTGAACATAAAAACAAACCAAAATTGAAAATCTTTACTAGAAAGCAAAGGCATAGCCTGCGATTTGAAATTCAGATCATAAAAGGCATTTGCAACAAATAAAACGACCATGACAATCAAAAAGTGAAGTCCAAAAGCGGCAAAACTACAGCAAAGTGCGCAGGGTTAGTTATCTCTGAAAGAACTCAGTAACCCGTTATAGCACCGCAAAAGCAAATCCATTTTATAGGGCAGCTGATCGGCTCCAGCAACTCCCAAACAAAACCTGGATAAGCACCAAGGAAAGAACCCAAATGAATGAATTCACTGGTCCCACAACTCATGGAACGTATAAAAACAACATCCACCAGTAGATTCTAAAGCACATACATCCCTTCAAACTGAAGAATTGCACCACGTTCGCATCTTTTGGACAGCTTCATAAGGGCAGAGACAATATTGAACATGCGAGCATAAGCACATAATGTCCCTCGCACCAGGGGAAATGACAAACAAAAGAAAAGAAAAAAGATCAAAAGCGGGACTGAAAATTGTGCAAAGCAAGACAACAAATCATAACTATGTACATAGTGAATCCAACATGTATCTGACTATTCCAAGTAAAAATAAAACAAGTTCTAAATAACAATCGTTAACCGTAATTAGATTACTGAGATTTCATTTAGAGATTAACAGGGCAGGTTCTCGTACAAGTTGGATATGAAAGATTAGCAGGATAGATAGGACATTTGGAAAGACAAATATTCTATTAATCAGAACAATTCAATATAGAAACTCATTAGGTGATTGCGAAACAATAAACAAAGAACTGAGAGTCAGGTTGAGTTCAGCATAAGCAGATAAAATTATGCATAAAGTAAGTTGGAATCAAGTTCTCACTTATATAACTTGATATCTGCGTTGCTGAGCGCCGCCGGGAAGTGATAATGACTGATTCATGATTTCTTCCAACTTGCGTTTTAGTTCTGATTTACCTCTCTTGACAGATTGTTCAGTAGGACCCTCAATAAACAGGTAAAGCTTGCGATCTCCTGGCCCTGGAACCTTGCCTGGTGGGAAATGTTGACCCCTAATAGTAATGGCAGCTCCAGTCAACTCTGATATAGGGCCCAAAGTTTCCTTGTGGGTAACCTTCCATCGAGCATTCTGGGGAATATCATTTATTTCCAACTCTGCTTCATAGTGCTCGGGCATTGCATCAGCTTGAATCTTTGCTAGGTTATGCTGCAAATTCATGGCAGCTGCAATTGCTGCTGCTCGAGCTGCCCCTTCATGTCCAACAAGATTCAGACCCATCCCAGGAAAAACAGCTGCTGTTCCTAGCAACGTTGCACCACCAAGGACACTGGGAAGAGAAACAGGTAATCCACCATTAGGAAGCAGTTGGGCAGCAGAGACAGGGGTCTGAACTGAAGCCGTACCACCAATAGAGGCAGCAGCAATAGCTGATATTTGAGCAAGGGCAGCCTGCTGTGAAATGTCACCCCCAGCCTTTCTGACACCATCATCTTCATCTTCTGAATCTGACTTGTCATCCTCAAAACCATATTCTTTGGCCTGTGCTTTCTTTGCTGCTTTCCTTGCTTCATCTTCCTCTTCATTAAATTTATAACCACTGCCGCCGTAACCAGTCCCATGGGCCTGCTCTAGTCCCTGCTTTATTTTTGCCATGAAACCATCAGCAAGAGATTTAAGATCATCTGGAACAGCTTGCTCGGAGAGTTCCAATGCTTTGACAAGATCTGGCGCATACTTAGCATCTTCCTCAGAGATGAACGTTATAGCACAACCTTTCTTGCCAGCTCGGCCTGTACGACCAACACGGTGAACATAGTCCTCGTAGTGATCTGGAGTATCAAAGTTGATCACCAGCTCAACCCCTTTAACATCTAACCCTCTAGAAGCAAGACTAGTTGCAATTAACAAATTACACACATCGCTCTTAAAATCAGATATGGTGGATTCACGATCTGTTTGATCTTTGTTCCCATGAAGTGAGAGACAAGGATATCCATGCCTAAGCAGATCCCTAAGCACAGTGTCACACGTTGCATGTGCTTTGGCAAACACCAGAATTTTTCCTCTCTCATACCATTCCCCAAGTATCTCTAATAATCTAACAAACCTTTCATTTTCGGACCTCACTTCAACAAATTGTGTAATGTCCTTGTTTACAACACTCTTACCACCAACCTGTATATGCACAGGTTTGTTTAAGACTTTACGTGCTAAGACTTCAACCTGGTGAGGGAACGTGGCAGAAAACAATAGAGTCTGATGATCTGGCCGAATATTCTGAACAATTCGATTGATTTGAGGTTCAAAACCCAAGTCAAACATTCGATCAGCTTCATCCACAACCAAGTAAGTTACTCTCTGCAGATTTGTTATCCTCCCTCCGTTTGTACAAAGTATGTCAATCATCCTACCGGGGGTACAGACAACAATTGCAGCACCCCGCTTCAACTCCCCAATCTGTTGGGCAATACCAGAACCTCCATATACAGGCACACACCTGAGACCCAGTGTCTTGGCAAACTTGTTTATAACACTGTGAATCTGCTGAACAAGCTCCCTCGTTGGTGCCATTATAAGGCCAATAGGCCCATCTCCAGCTACCACAGGTGGCTGATCCTTGATATGCCTCAGCATTGGCAGCACATATGCAAGGGTTTTGCCTGAGCCAGTTTTTGCAATGCCAATGCAGTCTCGTCCACTCATAATTATAGGCACTGCCTGAGCCTGAATTGGCATTGGCTTTTCATAGTCGAGCTTCTTTATCATTTCCAAGATTTTATTTGTAAGTCCAGTTTGGTGCCAGGTCTTAATGGGCTTTGGGACATCCTTACCATGTATCTTCAATTCCAATTGTTTTCGGTATGCACCCACATCTTCTGGGGTCATTTTTGAGACCTCCTTCACCTCAATGTAGAAATTTTTCCTGAATGGTTCATAATCTATCTTTGAGTGATCCACTAGAGAAAGTTTATCCACTTTTGTCTTTGTCACCCTTTTTGTGAACTCATCATCGTCTTCGTCTTCTAAGGGATCGCCATCATTCTCAAAGTCCCCATAATCCGAATCAGAATCCTCCCCAGGAATTATTCTGCCCAAAGATTTGTTTGAACCTTTTTCACCAGCAACTACTGGTTGATCTGCAGCATTGGCCAGCTTCTCAACTTGAGGCAGCACTGTAGAATTCATAAAAGCATCTAATGGATCAATTTCATCATCCTGCAAAGCAGGTGCAGCTGTTTCATTCTCAGAATGAACCTCCATGACGGCTCCATCCTCTTTGTCAGTGAGATAGGCTTCTCCATCAACGTCCATACCGGTCTCTTCTTCATCATCAGATTCTCCCTCAAGTGTCCAGGTCTTTTTAGACTTGTGTTTATCAACATCCCCTTCCACGTGCTTCTCTCCCTCAGCTTCTTTCTCCTTTCTTCTTAACTCCTGCCACTCCTGAACTCTCCTCCTCCGCTTTTCCATTTCCTCATCTAATTTCCTCTGCTCATCCTCTAAATCCTCCTCCACCACCTCAGAGATCGGATTCTTCTCTTTCCTAACTGAATCATCTTCATCACTCTTCTTTACCGGGCTCTCAACTTGACCATCCCTATGTCTATCTGACCTGCTGTTACTCCTTTCCCTCACTCTCTCCGCATTCTCCTTGTCATCTTTCCTACGCCGTTTCCTATCACTCTCCCTAACATCCTCCTCCTCCTCCTCCTCCTCATCTACATCATCACTCCGCACCCTTCTCTTTCGATCTCTGTCCCTTTCCTTCTCTCTAGCCCTCTCTCTTTTCCCCCTCTCTTTGTCTTTCTCCCTCTCCATCTCTTTATCTCTAGTCCTCCTATGACTACCGCTCTCCCTATCTCCTCGATGCCGCTTCTCTACCTCATACCTCTCGTCCTCAGAATCACAAAACTTGTCTCTCGTGGAACGACTAGAATCACAATCTCTCTCATCTCTATCTAACTTGTCTCTCGCGGAACGACTAGAATCACCATCTCTCTTAAAATCTCTATCTTTTCCCCTATGTCTCCTCTCTCCATTCTTCTCCTTTTCGCCATCTCGATGACCGCTAATCCTTTTCGATTCTCGCTCCTTCCTAGGTTTATGTTTGACCCCCTCTACCATTGCTTCCAGTTCCTTGTATAACAACAACAACACTTCTCTGCAATTGAGTCAACAAAACCCACAAAAAATAACTCAATTTTCCGACTTTGTACAATTCAGACCAACATAATCGACGGGAAACCAATTCAGACCGGGAAACCAATTCAGATCGGGACCCAATTCAAACAAGGAAGACACTAAAAGCAGACCCTAAATGCAAACCGAATTCGAGAAAACAGATTCGTATAATATTTTTCAAAATTTAAGAAAACTCGATGCAGAAAAGATTGATTACCTGGTTGATACAGAAAAGCTCGCGAAAGGGGGAAGTCGCAGAGTTAGGGCAGACTGATTTCTTTGCCTCCAATTAATTGAATTTGATCAAAATTGGGCTAATGCTCGGTCGGTCGGTTATTTTGTTGGGTTTCTTAATTGGGCCGGTTTTGGATAAAAACATATTAATGGACTCACTGTCCTATTTCCTCAAAGTTCCTCTTTTTTTAGTTTTATTTTTATCAACTCTTATGAGCCTCATTTTCAGGTAATTATTTTCAGTTTTTAAATTTAAAAATAAAAATAAAAAACTGAAAAACTACTTTTTTAAGTTTTCAAAATTTGGCATTAAGCTTTCGCTTTTTGGTTTTCAACTTTCATGTTAGCAGTTACCAAATAAAATTTCAATTTTTAGTTTTCAAATAACTAAAATTGAAAACGAAATGGTTACCTAATGACTCACTAGTTTCTTATGTAAAGTTGGTTTTTTTACCATCGTAGAAAGAAGAATTTGAACTTGGACTTCTTTTTTTATACAATGATTCTACATTTAAAGGGATCAAGTTAGACCACACAATGAGTGATCAACCACTTATTAGGCATCGAACTCAATACAAGTATAATACGTCAACGCTATTCATGTGAGTTGAACTTTGAGACCTCTCACTTATAAGTCAACATGAATATCACTATGCCGTATTACTAGTTAATAAGCAAACTTCTTTTAACATTAAGAATAAATTACCCAAATGGAGCAAATCAATAAATTAAAAAAATGTTTATATGGTAAGTTAAACAAGACATATCACAAATGTAGGAAAACAGTTTATTTGAATAAATTATTGCACTTTAATCAGATGATAAGCGAAAAACTAATTTTTTGTGTTCATTGCGGAAAATTTTTCCATCTTACAAACTATTAAATGCTACGAGAATTTGATCGATTGGATTAGTTAGGAGTTTGCTTTTATTATCGAGACCATCCAATGCTTGTAGGATTTAACGCTACATAGCACCAAAAGTAGAAGCCCTTGCGACAATGCTTGATAAACTGTTATGGAACATTAGATTCTAAAACTCCAGAATATAGAAGGAAAGACCAATGTTTGTCATAATTAAACAAAGATGGATTATATACTTAGCTTGTACAAGAAAATTGAAAGGCTGGCGTGCTCGTTGTGAAAGAATTGAAGTTTTTCCCCTACTTTTTATGCGCGAAGTGTGAGATCTAACAATGTATTTTGTTTGACAATGTAATGTTCTTATCTATCTTCTAAACTACTTTAATTTAAAGAGAAGTAGATTCCAATAGGATGCAATGAGCGGGCACACTGACCAGACTAACTGGTCTAATTCAAGTCTTCCTCAAATTAATAATTAATACCAAGCAGTGAAAAGATAATGAAATTGGAGTCAACATAGAGATCTAGAGAGAGTACATGTTTGCCAATTGAAAATTGAAAAATTTGCATCTGAGATTTCACAATGCTCTTGCAAACTAAAAAGAAATACAAGAAATAGTAGTTGTATAAACTAATGCAATGAATTGAAGAGTTTAACACTGGCAAGGTGTAAATACTATTACTGCATGCACTGAAACAAAAAGAACAAAAGTTAATTCTCAAGCAAACCGTTCAACTTCACCATCTCGGGTTTGTTTTTAGTTCGGACTGCTAGGTTGTCGTGCTTTTTATTTATTAGATTGACGATGGAAAATAGTATTTTCTTAATTCAATCGTGATCGTTCATTTTGTATACTACTCAGTAGTCTGAATTATTAAAGAATAATTGTACCATGTCATCTCTAGTTACTATAAACTTGGACTGAACCATCTCAAATTTCGACAATCTTGTTTAGGTGATTTTGAAGCATCATGAATTTCAATATATCTTCCGAATTTCCGACCATCTAAGTAGAAGACGCGGCTTGGGTACTATATCCAAAAAGATGGGAAAGGTCAAACACGTTTTCAATTCCTCCTAACCCTACGAAATGAATGCTATCGCTCCCAACCCTTCGGAATTACTCACTGGAAATGGCAAGGAACAACCTCGGCTTGTTACAAACAATATTTGGTTTCCAAAACTCTGTACACGAGAAAGTTGCCACCATTCTCCGACTCAATCTTGTAAATTAAAAAATCACAAGTCTTTGAACAAGTTTGCATATCGTACACGAATGGATCCTTCATCTGATGGATCAACTAGACTTCATTGTTGGTTGTTGATTCTGTCAAATATGACTTGTCCTCGAACTCGAACAAGGGACTACGACGTGAACGAAATTCATAGTATGATGACCGGTAGTCCCGTGGTTCTTCGTTGTCATAAACCAACTTCAATTCCAACTCATCATCATCATCTCCGAACTGTGATGTGCGAGTTATAACGCGTCCACTCTTAATCTCATCATTTTTAGGCGTATAGAATGCCACAAGACGAAAAGAATAGGGATGAAGGAGAATCCTTTTTACAATCCAACATCTGATAGATTCTCCAACTTTTTTTCTCCTGGCCTGCACAAACCAATCTCCATAGAAGAAAAAATTGCTGCTACTGTACATTCTGATATATTTGAACTGGGAAAGGCAATTTCACGAAGAAAGCAGTTGCCTTTTGGATAAGAATCAATACGATACTTATGGCTTTTGGATAAGAATCAAAGGTTGTGGAAAGATGAAATTTCTCTCAAGGAAGGAAGTTTGTGTTTGGCTCTTGAAATAGGGTTTAGTAAAAATACTTCATAGTTATTTTCCTCGGCCATAATCAACCAACCTTTAGGGCCGGGAACTAAGAAACCGCCCTTCATTTCGCTTAGGCAACCCTAACTTGATAAGTTTATGCTCATATGGGCTGGAGAACTCCTAGAACTTGTTTGGTACTCTATTTGAATTCAATTTTTTAAATTCAAAAACAATTTTCAAGTTTTAGGCCTTAAAACTTGTTTGGTAAGACTATTTCAAAAACTGAACTCAAGACTAACTCAAAAATATAGTTTATTCTCTAAAAACATTAAAAAAATAAAAAAAAAAGAGTTTTTAGAGTTTTTAAACTTAAACTCACATCTTTCTTTGTCTTCCTCCTGTCCTCTCACTCCAAATCTATCTCTATATCTTTTCTTCTTTCTCTCTCCTCCTTTTTTTTTTTTTACCTTTTTCGTCCCTCTTCAAATCCACTCTCTTCATTCTTGATTCTTTCTCTCACTCCTCTTCCTCTCTATCCCTTCCGATCCTCTCTCCATTTTCTCTTTTCTTCAATCATCTCTTACTTTCTTTCCTCCTCTCTTCTCATTCTCCTTCTCCTGTGACCTCTGTTTTTAAATCTCTTTATCTAGTTTAAGTTGTAAGATTTAAAAAGAAAATTGTTTTCAAGAAATGTTAATAATAAAAAATTTCAAATAGGATACCAAACAAGCCATTAAGTATTCGGGACTTCGTTGGGTGAGTACTAACCAGGGCAATTGGGGAGCAGTCTATGGATGTCTCTTTGCATAGCAGTCGAACTCCAATACTTGCAGAGGTTAAGCGAATCCGATCACGCAAGTTGAGGCACGATATTCTCCATGATATCCAAAGGTGTTGTCTGCCAACGCCTATCATTTATCATTTGGTTGATGTCCTTATCCGCAAACCCATCTGCAACTAGCCATAGCCATGCTAATCAATCCCCCCAGTCCAAAAACAATTCCGAAAAATAAAAATTTCAAACAACAGAATACGGATAATAAAAGCACGAATTACCTTCAACCTCGTTGCCATTCTTTGGGGGGTCCCAGCCATCACCTTCCTTGACGAGCTTCTTCTTCTTCAACCTATGGCTATCACTCTCCCTATCATCTCGACGACGCTTCTCTGCATCGTACCTTTCGTCCTCAGAATAATCATAAATCCAAGAGGATTCTCAATCCTTCCTAGGTTTATGTTTGGCCCCCTTTACCATTGGAGCTCCTCCTACTGTAACCTATAATCCTCTGCAATTTACGTAATACACAACAAATCACTCCTTTTTCTGACTTAAATACAACTCAGACGAACTCAAAACAAAAGGAGACAATTCAGACAAGGAAACACTAAAAACACACAACCCTAAATCCCAGTTCAATCAGATGTAAAACGACTTCGAATATTATTTTCTAAATTTAGATCTTATTCCATTCGTAGAGATTGATTACCTGATATATTGATACTGAAAAGATGATCACGACAGGGGGAACACAGAGATTTAGGGCACAGATTGATTACTTTGTCTCCAAATAATTGAATTTTGGGGCTTTTAGATCCAGGTCCAAAAATATAGATGGTTTTTAAGAGTGAGTCTAATTACCTAATTATATGTATTTATTTTTTTTAATGCTCATTTTATATTTTTTTAAAAATATTAAAAATCAATTAAAATCTTCTAATATTATGAATTTTCAACCCCAAAAAATTTAATTAATATCTTATAACAAAAAAAAAATATATATTGTCATAAATCTATCTGAAAGTCATTCTACCCTAACTCAAGTAACAAATATATGAATGTATATCATATCTATAAGTAAGATATAAAACTTAACTAAAGGGTAGAAAACAAACATAATATATCTACAAGCAAGACACATGAATCTTACTTGATTATAAAAAAGAATCTATCATATAGGTAGATAAATATAATTAACCTGTGATATAGGTTGATTATAAAAATAAAAAATAAAATCTATAAATGGGGTTTCAAAAGGGGTTAAAGAACAAGAAAGAACAAAAAAAAAAAAATCAAAGAGATAATTAGGAAGAAATTTGATTTTTATAATAAATCTTATCATTTAAGAGATAATTATTGATAATAGAATAATAAGATTTAAGAAATTGGACTTATTTTAATAAATTAGACTATTCCTACTATTGGCTCAAAAAATTGGACCTATATCAAGTTTTCCCTTGAATTTTATGGTCGGTTATTTTGTTGGGTTTAATAATTTGGGCCTATTTTGGATAAAACAATATTTTAGGGACCGTTAATAAATTTGCAAATAATACATGTGTGATCCGCCAAAACCCATCATTAACAAAACCATTGGATCCACCAAACATTTTGACACTAAACCTTTCCACTAATTACTTTTAGTCTCACTTTTGTTTAAGA